GAAAACTAATGTAAAATTGCTCTTGACAATACAGGGTAAATTTATATAATTGTATAGCAACTCAGATCTATGATGAAATAAACTGTTGATCTGAACTGTGTGAATCAGTTCGAAATTTCAGATTTTTAATCTGTTCAGAATATGAACATAGTCTATGAGTAAAGAATTTTTTTAAATTCATATAAGGCTTATTTTAAGTTATAATAGTAGAGAAATGCATTCATTCTTTTTTAAATGTATGAAGCTCAAATTGATAGGTATTGCATATTTGATGTTATAGTATCATAGCAACTGACATGCATTTGAGTTATTGTACTTTTAATTTGATTAACTCCTTATGATTAACTTATTTAATACAGACAGCATTGCTTACAGCCTACACACATATGCATTCTACTCACTTTAATGTTAGTTTCTTAAATAACCCGTTGACTCATTCATTTTCCCATACATAAAATATATGTGCATTTTAATCCTACCTACTGGCTAGCTCATAGGTTCATTCTTTTGCTCTTTGGTACTTTTTTCATGTCATTTTCACTTTCTCTTTGTGTGCCTGTCGGTTTTATGATCTGTATTGTTCGATAACAAACGTCTTCAATGCTTCTTATTCATCTTTTGCTTTAAACACTGTTGAGCACTCGTTATCTAGTAACAGTTGTCAGAACGAACAGTGTATGAAGTTTAATAATATAGCGGATACCGACAGCCACAGAACTGATGAGACCACATCCATTAAAGAATTGGTGAACCTGACGATCACCACAAAATTAGTTAGTTCGACGTCAACCATTATCGGTCAGTCAGTCAGATGCAACGTAGAACTTCGTACGTAAGTACATCAGTTCATTCATGTTGCCATACCACATCAGCACAGAGATATTACTGTCAATTCAAATTCGATAGTAGAAGAGGTAGTAAAGGTATTAGAAGTAATCGGAGAGGTTAGGATTAGAAGATATTCAAGAAATATGATTCAGTGAGAAAAGTTTAGAAAGTCAAAACTAGAGGGGTTGAAGAATCCAAAAGATTAGGATTTGAGAGAACACAAAGTATAAATGCACCGACGCCATTGCAAACGGTTTTGAGCCATGTCATTCAGGGTCTCTAACCATCGATTATTATCATCTCGCGGACCCCAACCAGGTAGTCGACAATTACCGACATGGCTAAGTCCACTCGTCAATGACTTCATGGATTCCTGTCATGTTTTGGTTTGACCGCCCCTACCTTTCTTCCAACCTATTCCTACACTACAAAACATAGCTCGTCGAGGCAGTCAGTGGTTAGACATTCGTAACACATGTCCCAACCACCTCAACTGATGAAGTTTCACCACTTCATCTATTGATCTGCCATGTCTTACCTAGCACCACTATAATCTATTTGGTTTTTTATATGGTTGATTAATCCATCGTTTTCTTTGCACTAGTATGAAATGTCTAAGAATTCTGATCTGCAGCACACAAGTGTGTCCATTTTTTTCTTCTTTATATTGATATTGATTGATGTGATTTCTTTTAGCATAAATTAATTTATTTAATGAATGCTGGGATATAACTAACAATTAAACAGTTCCAAACCAAATATATTTTGTTTATAATTATAGGTTCAATAGTGGATAGGACACACATTGAGGAAAGCACTCAACTGCATCACAAAACATGTCCACACTTAGAACCCTCAAGGTCAAAGGAAAAGAGGAAGGTCAAGAAACACATTACTCCGAGAAATAAAGAAAGACATGAGAAGAATGAACAAAAATTGGACAGAAATGGAAAGGGAAACCCAGGACAGAGTAGGTTGGAGAATACTGGTTGGCAGTGGCCTATGCTCCATTGGGGGGTACCAGGCGTAAGTAAGTTAGCAAGTATGGCTCAAGATTTTTGTACAACATACATTTAATAATATTAAGCTAACTTTTTGAAGTTTTTAATGTACAATAGATTATTTTCAATACCTGAAAAATAATTAATACTGAAAGTGTTTGTTTAACTAGTGTATTTCCGATATATATGATTTCTTTTAGTTTTCTGAAGATTAATAAATACATTGTAATTTTTAATTTACAAAATGGATTAAAATTTTAATAAGTTTCCATCATGTTAAAAATTTGTTGATCATTGTATCAATTGTTATTAAAATAGCATTCGATTCATTGGACAGGATTATGTTCTAGGACTATCTGTTGAAGAAAGATGTACCTGAGAAGTTCATCTCGAAGGTCATATATACAAATATCTCAGACAGAATGAGAGTATACAGTCATATCTCTTCATTGTTTCATTCTAGCAAGGCAGTTAGACGGAGTTGTCCAGTCTCACCTTTCCTCTTCATTGTTGACATTTATGATGTTCTGGAAATAGCTCTGATGGAATTAGGTGATGGTATGGACCTATAACCTGGAGATAAAATTTTCTACCTTCAGTGTACAATTGTTGCTTTGCTGCGTAATAATAATAATCAAAATATATAAATCATACTGGATAATGTCCGTAGGTATAGGATGTCCTTTGCAACTTCCACACGCAAATCGCTTCCAGAAGACTAGTAGGAGCTTGTCTTTGCATTCGCTTTTGAGAGCGGTCTGACCAAGTTAGTCAAAAAGTTCATTTATCTGAGTAGTTATGTGACTTCTGATGATAGCATGATGAATGGTGGTAGTGAAGACCATAGAGAGTTATAACCAATATGACCCACCTTCGATGCTACTGTGGTGTTAATCTGGATATGGGATGTCAGGATTATAAAGCGTGGGTGAGATTAGTGCTGATGTATAGATGCGAAACTTAATTTCTATGATATGAGGATGTTTGACGACTTTCTGGCTGACATCATAGTTGGCTTCAAACGATTGCTGACAAGCAGCGACGATAGCATGTTAGTATTGCTGAGGTTTAGGAATGTACGTTCAGATTCACTGACGACTATTTAATTGGTGTGATCATCTTGAAACAACAATTTCTTGGGTTGGGACATGTTTTATAAGTGTCATCTCATCAACTTTCATATCGTACACATTTGTCCAACACAGGGACCGGTGAAAATATCAAGGCGGTTGTCATTTTATAATATAGTGTCGTATTAAGAAAGAATGACTTATAATACTAGCTTCTGTAGGTCCGTCACAACTATTTAGTTCATGTCTTAGAGATGAAGTAGCTCAGTAACTTGGGATGTTAACAGACATGTTTCAGAACAGAATTTCTCTGTAGTTTTGCTCTTTTCCCTTCATAAAACTGGAACGAACTGTAATGACTGGAAGAGGATTCTTATATCGTATTTCTAACTGAACTGTGAGATTGTGGAGAAAATTTGTAGCTCAGGAGGATGAATATGATGGGATTTCGTTCTCTATGAGCTGGATGTTTTAGTTGTGGAGCTTTCACTGTTCTTCTCAATAACATCATCAGAACGAACATAAGGTAGAAGTGAAGTCATCGGATTTTTTCAAGTGCAATTCGTAACTTATCCTACTGACCTCAATCTTGATTGGTCGTTATTGTCCTTTAAACCTGTCATTGTCTGCCTCTTTACTTTGATTGTATCCCCTTTTGATTAGGTTCTTGATCCTATGCTTGTTCATGATTTTTCTAATTGGTTGATAAATTGGATCAGTTTCGATGTGTATTGTTGATTGTCGACTGACTTAAGTGTGAAGCTTCTAAAATTTCTCTAGTGTTTATTTTGTATTCTCTCTATCCAGTATTTTCAACACTTTTCCAATCGAATGCATGCTCTTAGTTGTCTGCATGTATTGATATGATCTGTTGACTGTCTTTTAGAAGAAGGGCAATCCACGCAACTTTATCAAAAATATCAACCTAAACCATCATTAGAAATGAAATCAAGTACAGGAACTAACAGATCATCTTATCAAATATGAAAGACATAGGAAATCTCAGCTAAATTACTAAAGCCATACAGAATAGGCGTAGCTTGTGAGATGATGGAGAAAATTGGTAGCTCAAGTGTAGCTTGTAAACTAATAAAATCACTTTAATCAATCCTATGTAAATCGAAGTACAAAACGATAAGCAAAAAATAAACTGTTCAAACTGAGAAAAACTCTACATCAGACAAAGTGAATATCCTCCTCAGCTTCTTCCCTGTGAACATCAATTCACAGTCAAACCCCATGATATTTAAGCCCCCGCCTTCTCAAAACATGCGGACAACTAAGAATGTGCATTCAATTGGAAAAGTGTTGAAATACTGGATGGAGAGAGAGAATACAGAAAACACTAGAGAAATTTTAGAAGCTTCACACTTAAGTCAGTCGACAATCAACAATACACATCGAAACTGAACCAATTTATCAACCAATTAGAAAAATCCTGAACAAGCATAGGATCAAAAACCAAATCAAAAAGGGGATACAATCAAAGTAAAGAGGTAGACAATGACAGGTTTAAAGGACAATAACGACCAATCAAGATTGAGGTCAGTAGGACAAGTTACGAATTGCACATGAAAAAATCCGATGAATTTAGTTCTACCTTATGTTTGTGCTGATGATGTTATTGAGAAGAACAATGAAAGCACCACAACTCAAACATCAAACTCACAGAGAACGAAACTTCACCATCACTGAACTGTATCCGCTGTGATAAAATATTCTTGTCCATTTATTTTACTTGGTTCTACTACTCCTACCGCCTTACTTTCTTCGTTTTCTTAGTTGCGTGATAAACATTTTGGAGTTTGATTTCATTAAATTTTTTGTCTTTTAAGCAAACAAAACTAAGAAACATTCGATTTTTAATTGTTCTATATTCAATCAAAATATTCTGCATATTTTTTTTTAACTCACGAATTAACCTTAGTGTTATTATGAATTATGTTACACTTGACATTGCAACACAATAAATAGTCACATAGACATTTTTGATTATTCTTTAAATGAACAAATAAAACATAACATGAATTTATAAATCATTTTCAAATAAGAGTTAAAATATATAGAAAACTAATAAAAAAATTCATAAGCATACATTTCAATGACTATTAATGGTCTGTTCTGAATGGTATTGATTTTTAAAAAAATAAAACTCACTGGATGTTAATATGAATCTAAATCTACTGAGAAGGCCTAATGAGAATATCAGCTGTATGAGAGAACAATGGAAGTTAAATAATTTCCAGTATACTACAGTATACTACATTGTGAAGGCCTGTGTTCAAGAGATTAAACTGCCGTTAAACTGGGTACACGGCAGAATACGTCATACATAAATTGATTCACAGTCTGCTGGATACACAACTCACAACTAACAATATAAAGAATCAGAGTATATAAAAAAGAAACAGATAGTACTTTAATCAGTACAGTTCAGAATTAAGGTAGGAAATCATATACTAAATAGTCATTAAGATCTCTTGATCACAGTTTAAAACAAGCATATTTACTTAAATTATCACGCACACACATTTGGTAACTGAATAAGTAGAAAATAAACAACGAACAGTCTTCAAACATTCATTGCACACACCATTTCTAGTCACTTAAGCCAGTGGCCCCATGTTGGGGACGTTAGATCCCCAGAACTCACTTGATAAATTCCGTATCTTGGATTTCACGTTTGCGAGCATGGGCTGATCAATTGACCTTGAGATTTCATTTCCCACCAGGAAAATACTTGGCTGTGATTGGTTGCTTTGTTATCTTAGTTTTCTATTTTTGTGACTGTCCCAAGGACGTTTCTATGATGTAAAAATAAACGAGATCTGGGTGCTTGATTGTATTGTGCTTGCCGGGTGTTTGTAGAATATACTTTCTGCGTTATACCAGCGCTTCTCTTAGCTGTTTCAGACCAAGGTAGCCTACCTGGACGCTGGTTCATTGTCTCGTTCGCATTTATCGACTAAGGTGAACCCGTAATAGTTTCAAGCATACTTAGTGACGAACCTAACACCACATTGCAAAGAATTTGTTCAATACTAACAGACTAGGCGCATATTGGACAGTATTCATTACTCATTGATAGATTAATTGTAGGAGGGAATTGTATATTTGAAAATTTCAGGGATTGGAATCAAATCATCTCATAAAACACGTTGTAATATCATAACGAGTAAAAAAATAGTACGTTTTCCTGAATTTTCGTATGTGACATCCCATAATACCAGTGTAGTGAACGATAACACAGGTGGGGCAATCGGACTGTTTTTAGCGAAAATTACAGAGTTACTCAGTAAAATTGGAAAACCATATCGTAAATCGTTCATTTGCAAAATATCAGTTCATCATATCAAACTGAACTGTTCCTGTTTCAATACATCAATCCATTGTCACTATTCATGCGTTTCATACAAATTCCATTGTGTTCTAACTCTTCCTCCTTTCTCGATCTTCCCCCCATCTTCTGCTGCCAGACATTACGTTGACACTCATGTCATATACTACTTATAAGTAGCTCACACCACACTAGGACGAAATGGCCGTCTAGTGCTTCCAGGTTTCTGATGACGGTCTAACAATTAGTGATTCATGATTTCTGTAAGAAATAATGTTCTTTCATTTTTAAAATCCCGACGAGTAAAACTTTTTCTGATATTTCGTTGCTTCGTGTAAGCTATTTTTTCAAAGAATAAATAAGAAAATTAAACTAATCCAAGTTCATCTAGTGCAAGAAAAATATTTAGTGCAATTAATCAGTGGATTAAAAACTGATTTGACTAAATTAATATCATGTAACTCTGGTCAAAGTGATTTAATGAGACATGCTGATTTATTTACGTGTGTGTTGATAAATGTGAAAAGTATGACATTTTTAATGTGAAAAAATGGATTTGTTTCACTTTTTTAATCAGTTAATGTGTTTGGACATTCCGACCGTTGTTGCCATTTTGAAGTCGTGGTCGGGCTTGCCTATCGTGATGATCCAACCGAGCTATATTGGCTGGAACGCATGTTCCTGTAGGTTCTATCATGCCAGGCAGGTCGATTGGAGAACGATGAGACTAAAAACAGCTACTCAAGGTCTGAGAGCGAAGTCGTACTGCTGACTGCAGAGGGATGTGACAACAGTAAGGTGTTTCCCTCGGACAACCAGCATCTGCAGTGATGCTGCCTTCCAACAAAGAAGGGAGGGGTTAGAAAAAGTCGACTTTAAAAATGTCACACCTCACCTTACCTCACGAATTTCCATCTCTGGAGGTAAGGTCTTTTAAACAAGGACGGAGCTGACACTGTAAATACTACCCATAGAAAGGCGGTGCGTGACTTACTTTCAACAGTTGTCCCTTGACCTCTGCGGTCATGCTCCCAAGTCGTTAAGATCAACAATAATCTACCTTCCTTTTTTGATCCCTCAAGAAGTACCCTTCCGCGGTGTGGGCAGCCGGGAAGTGATATCCGCCCTCATACCGGTAACAATACACGAGACCGCATCAGCCATAATCAAATCCTTCCTACATCCCCTAACATCTCTCTGCTGTAAGTATAGTATTGAGTCGTAGGGTAGAAAAAGCTCTCTTAGACCGGGTCCCAATAGATAGTCACCCGTGTACAGCCCAACTAAACGGGGAAGTAAGAACTCTGAAATATAGAGACATTCGCCGTTGTCTCTTCGTCGTTTCCGTCTAATTTCCTAATGACTGAAGCTAGATGAGGTTAAATATGAGTTTTACAGAAAGTTTTTGCACCTACTCCAAAAGGTTGGTGGCCTCGGCTCTCAAGCTGGTAACCTTGGTCAAGAGAGAAGACATCTGGATGTATCTTATAGTGCCGCGACTCAAAGAACAGATAATGGCAACCGTCTGCAGCAGCAGTGATCAAATGGCCGCCTATCTATAGTAAACACTAACTTTAAGCACAAAGAAAATCTTCTTTCCACATGGCAACCCCCAAAAGTCGTTACGACGCTGGAATCAACTAGATCACATGGCTATCAACCAACTATGGAGGGACTCGAGGGAAGACTACCGCTCAGTTTAGATTCATATCATGCTCTTGTGCGTGCATGTATTTGTTTATGGCTTACTGTGCGTAGGAAAAACACTGCAAAGTAAACCTCTTAGGGTTCTACTTAATAATAACAAAGCTAAGAATATGTTTCAGGAGCAGCTAGAAAAACAGTTAGGTGGCCACATCAATGTTTCCCACCCAAAGGCAGTGTGAAACGATGTCCAAAAAGCCGCGGAAACAGCGGTGATATCTGCTGGTAAGACAAACCATACAGTTACAGAGAAACAGTGGATCTCAGTAGCATCTGCTAAACTGATAGATGCTCGGAAACTCATCTCACCTGGCTCTGAACATGATGACTTTAAGTGCAAGTTGATAAAAATCTTACGCAATGATCACGAACAGAGGTCGGTAGCGAAAGCAAGAGTGATGGAAAAGGCAGCGGTGGTAGGTAACAGTAGACAACTGTTCAGATTGATCAAGGAAGCTGGTACTAGAAACCCATATGTTGGAGAAACTATCTCACAGTGAGCAACGTGAATCTCTCTCTTTCCACTTTTCAACGTGGGGGGGGGGGCCCCCCCCCCCCTCGTTGTTAAGTGGTAAGAGAGAGATTCACGTTGCTCACTGTGTGATAGTTTCTCACCACATCTGGGTTTCTAGTTACCAGCTTCCTTGATCAATCTGAACAGTTGTCTACTGTTACCTACCACCGCCTGCCTTTTCCATCACTCTTGCTTTCGCTACACGACCTCTGTTCGTGATCATTGCGTAAGATTTTTATCAACTTGCACTTAAAGTCATCATGTTCAGAGCAGGTGGGATGAGTTTCCGAGCATCTAATCCGTTGTAGCAGATGCTACTGGAGATCCACTGATTCTTCTGTAATAACTGTATAGGGTTTGTCTTACCAGCAGATATCACCGCTGTTTCCGCGGCTTTTTTGGACATCGGTTTCAACACTGCCTTG